CATTGCTCTTTATAACATTCCATCTTTTTCTCACTCTTTTGCTATATATTGAGTCTTATTATTGCTATCATTTTATTATCACTGTCAATAATTAACTTACAGATGATTTCCAAAGGAATTTGAATTGTCAAAATCTTATCAGTTACTTTTGCAATAGCATGAGAGGTGTTGTAGCAGTGTTGTTAGTCTTTAAGGTGCCACCAGACTTCTTGCTGTTTTTGCTGAAACACTTCTCAATCCTTAGAGTATGTGCTAGACTATTTTTTGTTTCAATTAAACTATCTCTTTGATTTTGCCTTTAACTGTGACCATTCCCAGGTCACCACTAAATGCAGTTAGTATCTTTCCCAGGCCTGAGGAAGAGCTGTGTGTAGCAGGAAAGCTTGTCTCTCTCATCAAGTTGATCCAGTAAAAGGTATGACTTACCACACACTTTTACAATGTGATTTTTAAATAGCTCTTTTTCCAACTATGGAACATTAAGTGATTTGTCATATAATTATGGCAGAAATAACAGATAAGAAACAGGAGTTTAGATTAAAAGGATTTGAATGATGTAGCAAAAGACTGCAGATATGTCACCTGACAATAAGTATTGTCATCAGGTTGCTGTTACTCTTCTACTTGTGTCGGGGTGATATCTCAGAGAGAACTATTATTAATTAACTAGCCATTCCCTGGCTGCTGTACACTTGCATTATCCATGGCAACCATTTTCAGTGTAAAAAGATTTTACAATCTGCCTGTGAATATGTATGTACTTTCCCCTGATAGAGTAGTAATAAACTGATAGGGGCTCAGTATAAAACTGGAGTTTTCAAGTTGGACCTTCAGGGGTGAAGGGCAAAAGAAGAGCAATGCAAGGACAGTGAAACAACGGAGTTTCGAGGTACATGTTTTTCTTGATAGTTTTAAAGTTTTAAGAGATTCAAGACAATATATCACATAATAAGGTTTGTACTGTAAAACCTCATTTTCATTTTCTCAGTCCTTGAGAAGTGCAGCGCTGCAATATCATATTTCTTTCTGATTTCTTGGATAAAACCTTTAACCATATTCAAAACGCTGAATGTTTCCTTAATGTGTTCCCGAGCCACACATTTGTGGAATGGGTTAACTGAGAACTTCCGCCAGGAATAGTTGGATTATAATTTCTTTATTTCATTGAACAACATTTTAAATATATAGTTTAACACTGTATCATTTAAGAATATAGCTTTCAATATCATAAAACAATTGCAGGCTGTACAATATTCCCTGGGAAGCCAAGAATGGTTATGTTACAGAAAACGCTGAGGAAACTTTATATACATGTTTAAAATGTGAATGAATTATGCAATTTATAAAAGTATCTTTGATTAATCACCATACTGAAAATTATATATTAAATTTTATCCTAGCTTCTCCTTTTCTTTGAAGAATGCTGTTGTTTTGAAACTGATCTTTCTAAATAAGTTAATAAACTTCCTCTTCATTCCTATGACTGGAGGTTTTTAAGTGAGTGGGGATAGGGCAGGGGAAGTTACATGGAGGCTTCAGTGGGAAGAGCACAACATTTAAAATGTTCTCATAAAAAAAAAGCTTTTTCTCTGGTACTGCTGATTATTGGAACACCAATATAAGTTTTTTAAAAATACCAGTACAATGAGTAGTACTATACTATTTCCACTGTTCTTATTTTAACAAAATAAAAGAAAGTTATGTCTTTGTATTTAAGCTAGTTTCGTCATATAAAATGTTTTAAACCAAATTAAAAATGCAGTTACTGTTGTTGGTGCATTGATCTGGAGATCAGAGATGTTTTAATGAGTTTTATTGCTGGCATATAGTTAAACATTAATGGTACTATGTTGTTCTTCACACTGAGATTGAGCAGTTGGCTGTGCAGCCCGAATATTTGAGCAGTAAGACCTGGTCTGCACTACAACGTTAGGTCAAGGTAAGACAGCTTACATCAATTTAACTTTGTGAGCCTGATCTACATTTGAACTTTCTTTTGAAATAACATCCCGTGCAAGGTTGAATTTACAAGCAGAGCATCCACACTACCATTATTTTGAAATAATGGGCTGCGGAATTCGAAATCTGTACTCCCGCTTTTCATGAGGAGTAACGCTAATTCCAAAATAGTTATTTTGAAATAATGGTAGTGTAGATGATCCAGTTCCGCTATTTTGAAATAATTATTCCCCAGAGTAATTTGAACTAATTATCCCTTCTTGGGGCTCTAAGTCCAAAGTAACGTTTCCACATTAATGGAGCCTGCCTCGGACTAATTACGAGGCTTCCCCATAGTGTGGACACACTAGTTCAAATCTGTTAAATCGGAAGTTATTAAACTGAATTTACTAATTTCAAAATAGTTTCCTAGTGTAGACATGGTCTGATGTCTAATGCAGCTTCCACTGAAGTAACTCACTTACCCTAACTCCATCTCCACAAGAGGTATAGCTCTTTATGTAAGCTCAGTGTCTGGTAGAGTAGACACTTGATTACATTGTTGATGTTTTTCAGAAGCCATCCCACAGTGCTCCACATGGACAGGTAAATCGGTGCAAGCACTCTTGGACTACGAGTACACTGCAGTTATTCCAAAATAGCTTATTTTGAAATAGCACATCTGCACTGTAGGGAAGCCTCAAAATTAGTCTGAGGCAGGTTTCCCTAATATAGACATGCTATCTTTATTTAGAGCCCCAGGAGGAATAACTTAGAATGGCCCTGGTGAGGGGCTATTTTGAAATAGCAGAAGTGGAGCATCTATACATGCCTTATTTTGAAATAGCTATTTTGGAATGGGTGTTATTCTTCGTAGAATGAGGTTTACAGATTTCAGAATAAGCAGTCCATTATTTCAAAATTATTTAGAAATAATGGAATTGCTGTGTAGATTTTCGCAGTTATTTTGGAATAACACCGTTATTCCAAAATAACTTTCCTGTGTAGACACACCCTTGTTGAGGACAACCACAGCAGACACAAGAAGTATAGTGTGGTTATGCAAAATAAGTTTAATTACTATGATGACTATAAATTGACTTAGGTAAACTTAATTATGTAGTGTTGACTTGCCCTAACCATTTGTCCATTATAGCACTTTTTTCCAATTTTGTTACGCAGGCTGTTGTTCTGGGGATCTTGTCAGATCAGCTGATACATTTATCCTTGCAAATCATAGATGTGCAAACCAAAATATTAATACAAATTCTACAGATAATCATTCTGAATCTTGTGGGACCTTAAAAACTAACAGATTTATTTGGGCATAACCTTGTATGGGTAAAATGCATGCCAGATGCATGACAGAGGCCCTCTGAGGCTTGTCACCATTCTGAATCTTGTGTTCATTTGTGTCAATAGGAAATACCTTGCTCTGCTAATGTGGACTGAGAAAAAACAAAATTGGAATGTAGAAACTGAGTCACACAAGGAGATTCATGCATTTTATATAGCCATTGTGTTTCTAACCCCACTTGCATCATCTTCTTTAGGTATTACAAACTATCTCTCTGTCCTTTTCAGTGTGCTACACCAATTTAAAATCAGACTAATTAGTCACTTCTGCCTTCTCAGAATTAGACCTCTTAAGTAATTTTCCCTGGCTTAAATCACAGTGGCTTATCTTTACTGATATATAATTTAAACCAACATTTGTGTCACCATTGACCCAGAGTATAGTTATTATTTCCACTATACTTGGCAGTATATAATAAAGCTCTTCAACATTTGTATAATTTTTTGACAACATTTGTCCTGAACAACTCATACAAGAAAACTTCAGTTGGGTGTTTTTTGTCCCCTCCTCCCCCAAAAATTAAAAATAAAAATTTAGGGCATTTTGATTGCTGAAAAAATTAACAAAATAGTTTGTTTTTGCAAGGAAAAACTGAAAAATTTAATGGAAAATTTAGCCTAAAAGGATATAATTTTTTTAGAAATTTGCCACAGCAAATTAAATACACTTCCCAACCAGTAACTCATTTTGTTCTGATCTGAATGCCAGAATATTACACTTTGTGAGGTTTAGGTTATATTTTAACTCCTTTGGCCAAAGAGCACATTTTTAAAGTAAATATTTGCTAGATATTTAGTAAAAGGCACATTCCTGAAACTTTGTATGTGTCTTGATGTTTACAATGGTATTTATCTGTGGCTAGGATGGGAAGGAAGAAGTTCAGTGGATTAGAAATCTCCCTGATTGTCCTATTCTGTTTGGTGGTGATTGTAGCCTGCATTCTGGTTGCACTTTTAGCAACAGGACATCCTGGACTCCAAGGTAACAGCTGCTATTTATCATGATTATTGTAGAACTCAAAGTTCAAGCCAGAAATAGTCCCTGAATTTGAATTGCTGGAAGAGGGAATAGATTACATTTGATTAACAAAAAAACAATGGCATTGACACTTACAAGTCTAATCAGTGCCCACTGAAGTCAATAGTAGTCATCAAAAAACAATGGCATTGACACAAGTCTAATCAGTGCCCACTGAAGTCAATAGTAGTCATCCAGAGGAGCATGGATCAGGCATGCAGACAAAGTTCAGGCATGAAAGGGTGTAACATTAAGTCTGTTTATATGATGACCCTTAACAAAATCAGTGCTTTTATGTATAGATTGTATGTAAGTTCTCTGAGACTGCATCTTCTTGTGGATTGGTAATGTCTAGCACAATGGGGCCCAGGTGTTGATGAAGCACAGTGGTTTCTCCCTTTTTACAGATAACAAAATGTATCATGAGTAAAAAAACCTAAACAAATTAAGAATGTAAAGCAGATAAATGTAAATGCAACTCCTCCCCTACCTACATCTGTGCTGTGTATTCCTTTTTTTTAATGAGGAAAGTGGAATTTTAATATTTTGAATAAAAACCAATATCTCTCCAAAACAGAGAACAAATTTAAGAGTTTTTTATGTCAGAGAACAACTCCATGGAATTTCTCCAGCCCATATTCCTACACAGTCCATATTCATGGAGTATGAAATACACTTCAAAGATTTTGACCCATTCAATGACTGTATTGATAAGATGCATTAATATTGTATCAGACGATTAAATATAGTTTGGTCCTTTGATGTGAGTCCCCATGCTTTATACTTTTAATTAATTAGTTATACCATTTAGAATGGCTTGTGAACCCTAATTTGTAGCTGAATGCAAACTGATTTATTTTTTTACGAGATTCTGATAAGTATGGACAAAAATATTACAAAAGATGAGAGGGTTTATTTTAATGCATCAATGAATCAGAAGAAAATTTGGTTTAGAAATAGGCTAGCATACATAGCCAAATATCCAAGAATCCTCTGTTTTGATATGGTCATATTTTGCATGCTTCACTTGCACGTGAAGACTGGGTGATTAAGCCCACAGTTTGGGCATGTCAATGGCAGTATGTATACAAGTAAATTGACATATGCTAACAAAAAGTGAATATGCTCAGGTATTAGGAGCACAGCTGCTCACAGAGACAGATATTTGCATATATTTGTATCAGCTGTTGTAAGTGAACATATCACCCTGGCCTGCCAATTAAACAAAGAAACAAAACCCCATTATATAAGGCTCAGGCTGGGGAATCCTGATTAAAATCAGGAATAAGGGATCTTTCGGAAAAGGCTTTATTTTCCAAAAGATTCCCGTCTAGACTGCCGCTTTTTGCTGGCAAAGCCCCGAGCCGGAAAAAAGCAGCAGCCATGTTTATGCAAATGAAGCGGGGAAGATTTAAATCCCCGCTTCATTTGCAATTGCGCTGTGTCTAATTTGCATCCCTTTTACGGAAAAGGGGTGCAATCTAGACACAGCCTTAGGGTAAATTAGAGCTAAGTAACAACACAGAACACTGAAAGCCAGGACTGGTGGCTGTAAACAAACTCCTATGGGACTTCAGGAAACTTGGGCACATGCATGATAAGTGGCCATCTGGCTAACTAAAATCATGTCACAACACAGGTGTTGCCGAACCAGAAAGTGCTGGACGAGAGAGGTGTAACCTGTACAACTTCTAATAGGCACTTGCAACAATCCTGACCATCTGGCAGTGCAGGCTCTTGGCCTCCTGAAGCTTACTAGTGACTAGCACTCCTCAAAGTTAATTATAAAAATATTTTTGGAACATCTTTAGATCCCTGGGATATACGTGTCTCTGAGGATGCCCAAAATCTGGATATTATGGAAGGAGGCATTTACAGGATAGGAAGAACATATAAGAGCAGCAGACTAATAGCATGAAAATGGAGCAAAAGTCCCTCCATTTTTAATACTGGGTGAATTTTAAATGAAGTGATGTGTGATGAGAGTTACAGGACTTCTTTGAAACTTCATCACACTCTGCATCTTTGTTTGCAACATTAAGAAATGTCAGGCACAATTAGGAAGAATTCTGTACTGTCTTGAGCCCCATGTAGTTTTATACACCTGAGAGAAGAAGAGTTGCCAAAAATACCGAACACCTCCTCTCCCCCCCCCCCCCAAAAAAAAACACTGGGGGAAAAAATTCTGTGGAGGGGAAAAAAAAGGGAGAGACCAAGGTTAAGCAACAACAACAACAACAACAACAAAAAGAAGAAGTAAAACTGCATTAAAACAGCTTTAAGTGTCTGCCGAGTCAGAATAGGGATCACAAGAGGGGACAAGTTGAGCACTAAAACGTAGGGAAGGTTTCAGTTCTTTAAGCTTTTTGCCAGTGGCCATTTTGTTTTCTTCATAGAGCCAGAACACAGCTTCCCTGTGGGGGCCAGGACCAGTTGCTGACTATGTTGTAGGGTTGCCAGGTGTCCGGTATTTTCACCTCCTGGCAAGGAATAAAAACAGAAAATACCAGACATTTCAGGTGTCAGGTATTTTCTGAATATTTTTACCAGACAGGAGGCAAAAATACTGGACTGTCCGGGTCAATGCCAGACATCTGGCAACCCTAGAGAGAAGTGGGCTCCAAATACAGTTACCGGTACATCAGAATGGCAGTGTTTTATGCCTACTTGCTTAGTGGTTCATACCTGCTCAAGTCTGATGGTAATAAGGAATCAGGCTTTCATGTTTAAATTATTTAAAAATGTAATTAAGCTATTTCTGTAATTCAACACTATTAATAATCCATTCGTTTTTAACAGACTTTTCTCCAGACTGTCCATCCTTAAGCGTATCAGAGAAAATTGACTGTATTCCAGATCAAGTAGCAACAAAGGTACATGAGATTAATTTGAAAATGGGCCGTGTATACAATAGAAATTGAGATTTGACTGCAGAACCAACCTTGTGTTCACAAGGAAAACTCACGCCTGTCACCAGGAAGCTGTGGGGTAGGACTGTCAAAAACTTCCTGTGCTGGCTTAACTCCACTTCCATTGAAATCTGAGTTTACTGCTGATATCAGTGAGAGCAAAGCTTTGGAAAATCACTGCTGTAATACATAATAACAAACTTGCTTCTCTTCCTTCTTTATCCAACATTCACATATTAACATATTAACATTTGCACTGTCTGCCTCTCCTGAGTGCAACCCTTTAGAATGACAGGTTTGTGCCTCCATTTCTTTTTGGGTTTGGATTCCCATTCTTGGTGTTACCTCTTATCTTGAGGGCCAAATTACAGCCTGCTTGCTGCAGCTGACAACTTTCCTCATCCCCTCTGTAAAGCAGATCTTTTCACAGATCAGGGTCTTTTACCCTTTTCTTACCCTTGTCAAACCAGCCCTGTTACCAGCTTGGAACTGAGTAGTTCAGGGAGATATTTCAGGGCTATAAACCAAGCTAGTGTGATTTGATAGGGAAGCTTTTTATCTAGGCCATTGTTTTACCTTTCATGCCTGTCTCTTGAACAACTTCCCTTCATCTAACTATGCATGCAGGCAGGGTAGTATCACAGAGATACACTTAAGGACACTTAAGATACACTTAAGTAATGCAAATATTTCCCAGTGCTGCACAAGCTACATTATGATATTTTGGAATCTGGATACTTCCCATGTCATCTGATATCTCTCAGAGCATGAACAGGGCTCTCCCCTCCCTGTTGATAATGATGCTACCAGAATTGTTACCTTTTTTTAGAGTATTGGCCTGTTTCCGGACCCCCAACCTTGAAGACCCAATGGATTGCTTTTCATATAGTAGCTACCTTTTGACCTATCTGGCTTTGGTGGACCTATCAGGAGCAAGCCCAGCTCCCCTCTCCCCCCAGTCCCTATAGGTCTGAGTCATTGAAACATATCTGTCTTTCTGCTGGGTCAAGGTCTAGGGAAGGATATTAATTTATGATTAACTATTATTCTTAACATGTATCAGGTCTGTATCAAGCTTTTAGTTTCAATCCCTCTCTCTTTTCTGATGAGCAAATGGACCTTCCCTACTTAAGAATCTAGAGTTAGACCCTTTTCTTATCCAATAGAAATATTATCCTTTTAGTTTTGTTATCTTCACCCTTAAATAGAACTTTTACTTTATTTCCTCTTTAAATTATATGTTCTCTTCTGATGGAAGCTGGTGAGTTTTTTTCCTCCATTTAGTGGGATTATTTGATGGTTAATTCCAGCATTCAAAAAATAATCAAAATATCATTAACTGAGAGAGTTTCCTGACACAGTTGCTAATGCTCTTGCCATGCAATAGGTTATATTATTTTTTATGGTTCAATAATATCCGGCAGGTAAACATATTGTGCTCCCTTGTTCTTTCACTAGGAACAAATTGGTTTCCTATCTTTCTCAAGAAGTAGTGCACAATATATGTGCAGTCATGCAAATCACTTGACTCTTTAATTGCTAACCTTTCATCTAATCTTCCTGAGTTAAACGGTGCACTTATCCTTCAGTAGGAGCTGCATGCATGCATACATATAGTACTTTGTTAACTGTGTGTCTCATGGTAAGTCTAAGGCTGTGTTTCCCCACTCCTACCACTGTGATTAGAAGGATCTGTTTACAAAGTAAATACAGGCGGTCCCCGGGTTACGTACAAGATAGGGACTGTAGGTTTGTTCTTAAGTTGAATTTGTATGTAAGTCGGAACTGGTGTCCAGATTCAGCCGCTATTGAAACTGACCAGCGGCTGACTACAGGAAGCCCGAGGCAAAGCTGCTCTGCCCCGGGCTTCCTGGAATCAGCCGCTGATCAGTTTCAACAGTGGCTGAATCTGGACGCCTGGGACAGAGCAGCTGGGGGCGCTGCCAGGTAGGTCCCCGCAGCGCCGCACTTCGGCGCTGCGGGGACCAACCTGGCAGCACCCCAGCTGCTCTGTCCCAGGTGTCCCCA